CCAAGGAAGCATGCCTTCTCTGTTGCAGTCCCCACCCTCTGGCACAGCCCCCCCCCCCCCCTTATTGGTGCCCTCTCTCCTAGGGTTCTGGAAAGCTTTGAAAACCTGGCTTTGGTCCCAGGCCTGGGGTTGATGTTTATTATTTGTCCGATGGCCCGTCTTGTTTTGTTGATTCTGCTGTCTATTAGATTATTTTAGTCTGGGCTGTCTGTTTGATTTAATGTTTTTAGCTGTTTTTACGTTTTCTTTAGTTTTGTACGCCACCCAGAGTCCACTGGAGTTGGGTAGCCAATACATTTAAATAATAAAATAAAATAAATATTAAAATGTTGGGTGCTTATGGCAGCAGAGAGTCAGCCAGACTCTGACTTGATTTTCAAAGCATGATCAAAATATTTTCCCTCCAGAAAAGGATGGCAACTTGGTAGCAAGGTTTAACTAATTGAACAAGTCATACAGGACTTCAAACTTAACAGAGGTTCGCATCCATTGGGCATCAAGATAGTATGTGGCCAGAATAGGAGGGTAGCTGGAAGAGGATCTGTACGTTAAATCCACAATAATAGCTATTAGGGCTGGGGAGTAAGTAGCTTTTTCGGTTTCAGATTCTGACTTCAGCTTGGGAGCATGGTTTCTTTGTATCTTGGGAGCATTGTTTCTTTGCATATAGCTGGAAGCAAATCAAACAAAAATAATCTTCCCCTTCTTGTTTTGCTTAGAGTCATTCCTTCTTGCTACAATTGGCAGATTTCCAGCCAAGTTGCACTGTTTCTTGGCATTCTTTTATCTACTGATCCCTTTGATTAGGGAGTACAGTATTAACCTAGACAACTTCATCTCCCACCCATCAGTTTTCAGGCTGGTAAGGGAAATGCGAACCTGAGCCACATGACTGCTAGGGAAGGCTCCCACAGCAAAAACACTGGGTTCTTGGAAAAGAGTACATGCCCTTTTGACAGTTTACAATTTAGAAACCAAGATTCTCAGACATTCAAAATAGGGGTTACATTACGGAATTTTGGAATTTTGGAAACTGAAAAGGCGTACCTTGACCCTCATTTATCAGTAAGTATATTAAAGTGGGGCCTCCCTATTGCATATAATCTTTTTTCTTTGGAGTCTTGGTTTAATGGGGTGGATTCTAATTGCTTATTTGATATCACAAAACTGCCCATCTGTTCATGTTCTGCAGCATTTTGAAAACATCCATTTTCATTCCCAGAGTCAGGGAATTCCAATATAATATGACATAAGTTGCTGTGCAGGGGTTGGGGAGTTAGTTAATCTGATGCAAAAGCAAAAATGTGCCTGCAGTCATGACATTTGAACACTTTTCATTTGAAAGGTTATATGAGGGAGGAACCATCCAGTTTTTTCTTAAGACTTGGAGATTAATTCCACTATTTCCCTTGTCAAGATTATAGAGGACATGGAAGAAAATGTATAATTCCAGGCTTTTCATCAGCTCCAATTCTTGCTCCCAATTTAGGACCCAAAACATAGAGTTTAGTGGTATCCCTTTTCCTCCAATAGGGAGCATGGAAAGGCACAGATACATCTTCCCTCTGCTTCACCCAATAATGTTAAAGGGAGGTAGTTTTTCTACCAATTGTCAGCTATAGATGGGTTAAAAGATTTGCATCTGCTTTCCAGTACCCAATCCAAGTAATCTCTACTAGTCTATTCCCACTATGTGCCAGTAGAAAAGTAGCAGAGAAAAAATATATATTTTTCAATTTGAGGGGGCAAATCCAACAGTTCTGTGTGCAGAAATTTCTTCAGTGATTTTTATTAGAAGTGGGACAGTCCACTAATGAAGCAGTCTCAGCCAGAAAATACGATTGTCTCATTTATACAATGAAAATTGTAGTTTCTCAAAATCACATGGCTAACTTTGCTTCTTATTTAGCGATAGCTAATGAGTATACAAAATGTATTGGAAGTTCTTGTAATAGAAGAAACAAAACCATCCTAAGCTGGATCTTCCTTCCTTCCTTCCTTCCTTCCTTCCTTCCTTCCTTCCTTCCTTCCTTCCTTCCGTCCTTTATATGGCTGCCCATCGCATCCCAGTGACTAGGCAACTAACAACAATTAAAAACACCGTGTATCAAGAAAAAATATATACATAACTGGCAGCTAATATAAACAGCAAACATCCATCAACATAACCACTTGATTGGCTCTGAAACTCTGACCCCGTGCCCAGGAACATAGCCACAACTTAGATCCTGTGAAGCTTCTTCAGTACCACCAGCCCCACTCTCAACTTCGTGCTGCACTGCTGAGTGCCAAACAGCTGATCAGCACTCTCATTGTGGTGACCCAACACTCCAGCCTTTGCCAACTCTCTGAAGACTCCTTGATCACTTGGGCACCGTGAAAGACAGTCGCTGGGCACACTTCTGTCCCAAGTCACCTGAAGGCCCAACAAGGGATATGAACCACTCTAGCCCAAGCAAAATGTGATCCAGACCAGGCATCTGGTCTGAGGAAAGCGTGGGGGATCCCAGCATCTCATTACTTTCCAATTCTTCAAACCTGCTCAGTGCCCTTGGAGGCATTGGTCCACCCCCTCCTCAAGAAGCCATCGCTAGACCCAACCATATCATTCATCCAACATCCAACCTTCCCTTTTTAGGGAAGGTTATTGAGAAGGTGGTCACGCAGTAACTTCAGAGGATCCTGAATAAAACAAATTATCTGGACTCCTTTCAATCAGGTTTCAGGCCTGAGTACGGGACTGAAACAGCATTGGTTGCACTTTTAGATGACCTCAGGCGATGATCCATCCTTGCTCTATTTGACCTCATGGTGGCCTTTAATACCATTGACCATGGTATCCTTCTGGACCAGCTGCAAGGGTTAAGGGTGGACAGCACTGCATTATGCTGGTTCTCCTTCCTTTGCAGCCAATTCCAGTCTGTTGATCAGGAGTGAGAGGTCCCACCCTTGGGCCCTACACTGTGAGCTGCCACAGCATTCAGAACTTTGTCTACTCCTGTTTAAAATCTACATGAAGCCGTTGGGTGAGGTCATCTTTAGCCATGGGGTGAGGTATCATCAGTATGCCCCTGAAGCAAGCAGTGCTGTTGATGTCCTGTCTCAGTTCCTAGAGGCTGTGAGGGCTTGGATGGGGAACAACAGGCTTCAGCTCAACCTTGGCAAGACTGGGTGGCTTTGGGTTTTAGGGCCACCTGGATTTGGGAATTTACTATCTTTAGTTCTAGATGGGGTGGCACTATCCCAGACAGACCTGGTGTGCAATCTGGGAGTCCTGGATTCACAACTGCTTAATGAGCAGGTGGCAGTAATGGCTAGGAGGGCCTTTGTCACTCACACCCTGGTCATCTGCATGGATTACTGTAACATGCTCCACATGGGGCTGACATTGAAAAGCTTCAGCTGGTGCAAAGTCTGGTGCAGACTGTTATGTGCGGACTTAGATCAGCGAACTTTACACCTCTGCTCCATGAGTTACATTGGTTACCAGTTTGCTTCTGGGTTCAATTCAAGGTGCTGGTAATGACCTATAAAGTCCTACATGGCATGGGGCTGGGTTATTTGACGGAATGCCTCTCCCCAGTCACATCTACCCATCCCATCAGGTCTGGCAGGAAAGGCATATTGCGGGTCCTGTCCACAAAGGAATGTCATCTGATGATACCCAGGAGGAGAGCCTTTTCTACCGTAGTACCTATTTGGAACATCATTCCCCCTGAAACTGGATTAGCCCTAACCTTGCTGGCCTTCTGGAAGGGTCTGAAGGCATGGCTTTGCCATCTGGCTTGGGATCCAGTAACATGGGTATGGAGCATGCAAAGTGGCTGTATTGCTAGGGAAATTTGAGTGCTCTCCCCCACAGATTATTGAGGGTGGGGGTTATGGTTTTTATCATTTTTAATTTTTAAAATATTTTTTAATTCTTTTCATGTTTTTGGTTATTTTGCTGTATTGTTTTGTGTTTTTAACTTTGTACGCCACTCAGAGTCACGTATGTGAGATGGGCAGCTATATAAATATACCAAATAAATAAATACAATATGAGGGAAGTAGTCTTGATGCTAGCAAAGGAAAGGTAGGATTATCACCATGAACTGGGGGATTCTGTTGCATGTTGGTGACATAATTAAATACAATTTTTGGCAGGGTTCTAATTTAGCCTCCTTCAGTGGTAGTTATTTTTCAACAGCATCAGCTCATTTAGAGGTATAACTTCCAAGGGGATAAGGTATTTATCCTGCTGAAACCCATCTACATAGATTCTTCTTAGTAAGTTCATCACATGTAGGATATAGCCCAAGATCCATGATTCCACATAAAAGAATTCAATTATTTGGAACTGGAGCTCATACAATTTAGTAAAAACTTGTATCACCACCAAAGCCCTACATCATGGGTAGCTAACCTGGTGCCCTCCAGATGTGCTGGGTTGCAGCTCCCACATTCTTTTATTATTTGCCATGCTGCCTATGGCTAGCTATGACTGGTAGTATTTGTAATTGAAAACATTTGCATGGTAGGTGTTGGCCTTCTTCAACAGTTAGGGAGGCATTTGTTTTAGCAGACTGGGAAAAAAAAAGTCTATTCAACCTCAATAGAGGTGAATTTTCTATCAATGTAGAGTATCTATTGGGTTTCTAGAATGACAGGAATTGGGAAGTTTGAGCAATGGAAATGTGCTTTCAGTCCAAAGGTATTTTTGCTCATTCTGCAAGGACATACTCATAGATTACTTTTTTAGATTTAGCTAAAGTTTATCATGGTCATAGACCATCAACAAGGGAAAGTAAAAAAACAAACTCTTACGTTTCAAGCAGAGGGAAAGCTGAAGAGGTGATTGACCAGTGTCCACTAGGCTTGCTGCATTACTAATTTCTCTTCCTGACATACCTTGTGCAAAGTGAGAAATCCACAAGGAAAATAATGGTGATTCCATTCTGGCTTTAGTGAGTCTTAATTTTTTTGGATGTGAGAGATCTTGATATTTCTAAATCCCTTTCTAATCTAACCTGTTAATCTTGGATTCATGCTGCTTGGATTCATTCATATCCAGTGAGGCTCCAGTTCAACATACTGAGTTCTATCAGCTACTATAAGACTTTTAAAAAAAATAAGTATTTCAGACCATTTTTATCTTCTATGGCAATAACATTTGATTCTCAGTTACTCAAAACAGTAACCCAAGAAGGTAAAATTACTTTGAAACTTATGTTTATTGTTACATTTATCATGTTTATTAGAACATTGGTTCTCAGTATTTTGAGGGACAGTATCAAACAACCTGGGTTCTACTATGATGAAAAAGACTATTTTTTGCAAGAACGTTTACAGTCATTTTTTAAATATATTATTTGCTGTAAGTTTTAAAAGTTTCAGGGATTTAATCTTATACCCTACCTACCTCTGATACACATGCCACTGGTTGTGAAGGTAATGGGAGTCAGATACTCTGCACATCATGTAGGGAAGGAGTTTTGGATCTTGCGCTGTGACAAAGTAATCCCTTGTACCATTCTATTCACAGGAGGATGGGAGTTAATTTTACAAAACTTTTTCTGAAGCATTTTCTTCCTAAGAATGCATTCCTAAGACACAGATTTGACATGTGTTAAGGTCTACATTTTATATTCCAGTTAAGTTTGTATTTTTCAAACTCAGTGAATTTCAGTTATCAGATCAGCAGTTATGTAATGGAATGCATCATTGTGGTATACAAATAAAACTGATTCCACCCTACTCAATTTTTAAATTGTTAAGCCTTCGATTCTGACTACTAATGTCCCTCCCACAGTTAATTATGAGACAATGATCCATTATATGGTAACTGTATGGAATTCAAGTCATAGCCAAGTCTTTGACAGCAGAATCTTCCAGCAGCTTCTGGGAAGCAAGGCATAGCTATCCTGTCCTGTGCAGTGAGCCCGGCAGTTTTTTCCCTCCCTCCCTCACTGAAAATACTAAAATGACTCTTTTGACCAGCAGGCAGGAAATTGGACCTTTGTTCTGAAGTAGTGAGGAAGGATTAGTTGCAATGGCAATCTTTCCCCAGATTAATTGCAGTTCTGTTTGCTTATTTCTCAATTTAGCACTATTACACCTGTTTGCCTCTGTAAGTCTGATTTTTAATTGAAAGTTCTGTTTCAGATATTTAAGTTTGAATAGTGGTTCAGCTTTATCCTGCTACAGCTTTGTCCTGAACATAGGGGGATTTTCTCTCCAGAAGCATTTGCTGATCATAAAATAACTCCCATTTCTAATTTCTAGATTGCTAGTGAAGGTATTATAGTGATAGTACCGCCTTGCTAATCTTTCAATATATTCTTGTATTTGTGTTGTGATGTAGTTAATTTGGTACTTTGTTGTTTATTCTGTAAGGAATTAATAGATGTCATATTTGGGTTGAATTAGAAAGGAAATTTGGTAAAGGTCCTACCAACTTAAATCTGATTTTTTAATTTTAAAAAAGGCTGGCTGGTTCGTATGTCAGAGTACTAGGATGTTTCATTTTCTAGGTTTGTTACAAAAATTAGATTCAATAGAACGGTCAGTTAAAGGCTAGAAGTCTACAACCTTTTGGACTTTAAACTGGTATGACTTCTCAATTTTCCAACAGGGCTTAGGTACTCAAATTTTCAGAGAGTTTTCTTCTGTTTATCTGAAATGCTTATGTGGATGAGGTAGCATCTTCTTTTTCTTATCTTTTTAAATAGATGCATGAAACAAATCAGCTAGCTGCCATTTTGGCTACTTTGTATGGGGGGGGGGGCATCTCTAAAGCAGCCTCCAGAAGCTTCATTTGCTTTAGTTGGATATCAATGAAATTATTGCAGCTTTTTATTGTACAACAGCAATTAAGAAAAATGCTCGAAAAAGTAATAATCAAAATACTGGAGCAGGCAAAAATTACAGTATATATTTGCTGCAATGCATATGAATAATAAACTCCAAGTGACATACCCTTACAACTATTGCTAATAGAGAATGTATTTCACATTGTAAATTACTGCTAAATATTTCCTTGGGAGCATTTGTAGAATAAGTCAGTTGTTCTGGAATGTGTATTCAGGGTCAAGCTAAATATTGAAATGAAGTGTTATGTTTTCTTTTCCCTTCCAAAATATCCTGGCATTGCTGTTGGTTTGTCTTCTTTTGAAATTTGCTTTCACAAAGTTACTAAAAAAATATTGGGGAAGAGTTATAGAAACTGGAGTTTCCCTGGAAGCGGCCCTGACAAGAAAAGGAGTAAGCATACTTGGTGCCAAGCAGCCCTTCCCAATGTTATTTTTTAAAAGAAAAGGGAAGATTGGTATTTTATTATCTGTTATATTGGTAGCCTAGTCTAACAGTACAGTTTTCTTCAATTTGAAGAGAGATTCAAAGCGTGTTTCAGAGAACATCTTATATTCTCTTCAACGTGGTAAAAAGTTGCTGGGCTTCCTGATTGAAATGTTACAGAGGCTGAGGAACATTATCCAAGGATAGCTTTCCCATTAATTATGTCTTTCTTGTCTTAAAGTCATTATTCATGCAAATAGGATTTAAATCCCCAACTGACTTCTTGAATATTCTTTTTTGGAATGCCTAGGCATTAAGTGAAGCTTCTTCTCTTTCATCACCTCTAATAAAAAAAAAAATCCATTGAATGCCTGCACTAGGATTGAGACTCTTGATTTGTAGTCCTTCTCCTCTTTGTGTATATGTTACTGGAGAATTGATTTTGTAGCCCAGGGGAAGTTGGTGTGTGTGTTTGAATGCTGCTGTTTGCTGTTTTTTAAAGGACTTCTAGCCCTCCGCTGGGGTTACTTCAGCAGGAATTCATACCTGTACTACAGCCCAGCATACAGACTGCTGACAGGTACCAAGCAGGGGGACATCCCTGCTCATAGTGTGCTGTCTTTTTGTCAATATGTTTTACTGGTCATGGTTATCAGACCTTTGTTAATTCAGTAGTTTTATCCATGCTTTTGTTCTTCATTTGTGCCTACATCATTTGGCAAGTTATGTTTTACTATTGTTAACATTTGTTATTTTTTTCATAAATTACTGGCCCATGTATGTTCAACTTTTAAGTGGATCTCTGTATAATAAAATGATGACGATGTTCTGGCTATTTTTTTCTGGGCAATCTAGTCCGTTCTTTTGTAACAGTTTTAAAATTTAGGTAAAAATTGACCCTAATTTGTTAAGACAGGCACAAATTTCCCACAACATTTTTCATATTCTTTCCTTTCACTACATTTACTTGCTCCTATTTTCTTTGCCTCTTGAAATATGAATTTGACTATTAGCAGTGAAAAAAAATTGACCTATGCAGAGTTTTGCTAGTAATCCTTCAATACTGGAAATATATATTGTCTGATTTCTGTTTTGGAGTTTCAACAAGTTGTCTCTTCAACAAGAAACTAGTCTTCTGTCAAAATACTATATGGCTAAGATAGAGGCAATGAAAAGGCAGCATATGAAATCTTGTTTAAAATCAGCCAAATGTACCACATATGTGGTTTAAGAACTAAGATATAAAGAATTTTAATAGAATTGAGGTTACTTAACTATATATTGTTTTATTTTTTGACGTTTAACCTCAGCTAATTCTTGATATTGTATAGTTTTGTTTTTTTAAAATAAAAATGGTCACATGATTGTTGTAAGCCTAATGTCTGAAGATTTGATTAAAGGCTTGCAATTCATCCCTACTGTTGCCTCCCTCTTTTCTGCCCATTTTTATTCTGAACTCTCTTCACCAAAAATTGGAGGTTGTGCAACACAAAATACGCTGTAGTACTCCATGGTGGATAAGCAGCAGTTGCTGGCCTCTTAACAGTTCTTTTATGTACTGACTTTCTCCCAATCCATTAAGACAATTCTTTGCGGGGGAGGGCTTTTTGTTGAAACATGGTTAAATCTTACCCTTTCAAACAGTTTGAGAATCCATAGGTCGTAGCTGAGTGCAAGATCACTGCAACAGGAGAAAAAAGCAGAAAGTCTGGAGCAACTACAGTGAAATTTAGAATCCTGATTATAAAATGACATAATTTCATGAGTCATTTCTGTAGCTCTTGGTGCTGCAGTAGTGGTTATAGTGAAAACTTAGAATTATAATTGGTAACAGTACTGTTAATTTATCTCCCCTTGTTAGGGCATAAATTATTTAATTTCTTATGGAGAGAGTTATGCAGAGTGTTTGGGCAGGGGTGATAATTAGTGGTGACATCTCCAGAACTTTATAGTTACATTACTACATATATCTTGATCTGCTTTTACTCTAGTTTGGTAAACAATTTATACTAAAAATGAAATATACTATTAGTTCTATTACTTTTTTAACTTGTAGTCATGAAAATATCGTGGCCAAATTTAAACTTGAGTACAATTGTCTTTAGCATTGGTACTTTTAACATACTGCATCAAGGAGATCCAGAAATTCTAGGATTTAGGATTCTAGGATGTGTTTCCATATCTTTAAAATCAGTTGGAGATTTGAAACAAAACCTCATGATACATGGATGATACTATCACAGAACATTCTCATTCCATAAATATTTTAAAATGTTACGCTGGAATGTTCTACAACAAATGCTATGCGGTTTTCTTTAAAAAATATAGCTCCATGGCTTTTAATTATTTTGTGTTATTATAATTGCAGGCATCACACAATTACCAGAGGAATAACCAAAGGTGTGAAGGAGGATTTCCGTCTGGCAATGGAGCGCCAAGTATCACGCTGTGGGGAAAACCTGATGATGGTGTTGCATAGATTTTGTATGAATGAGAAGATTTTGCTTCTTCAAACACTGAGCTGAGTATTATAGTATTATAGACTTCATTGGAACTTCTAGCCAAGAAGGAGCAGACAAAGAGGAAAATCATTATCATTCCATTAGGGGTAGCCTGTTATCCTTAGCTGCTGAAGCAAAGTTGTTTGAAAACTACAGTCAAAACTTCATGCACATTTTGGTAAACATTTAACTTTGGCATTGTAAATAAAATAGCTTACAAAATTAATTAAAATCATGTTTTCATTAAAAAAATACCTGGTTCAGACCCAAGACTGAATTTAAAAATTAGGGGTGAACAGTATAAATCCATAAGTCCATCTTGGTCATGTTGCAATAATTCATGAGTCATGCATAATGGATATAGATATTCATCGTGGTGCTATGGTCAAGTGTTCTGCCTGAGACCATCAGGTAGTGAAATAGGCAAGTTGGAGGTAGATGCAAGTAATCTGTAAGCCAGACTTGGCTATTGCTTTTGCTATTGCCCCTTAACTTCACAAAACAAATAGGCTATCTGGACTGAAACCATGATGGAGCTGAAGAGTACTGGTTGTTCATTCCATTCTATAATCCTGAGTAATTTTCACAAGGAATAGTGGCACACAGATCAAATTATCAGAACCTTCCCAAACCTATATACTCTCAAATGCCCTGTGTGACATGAATATGTAATTTTTATGAGGCAAATAAATTTCTGAACAGAGTATTGTGTACCGAAAATTCTTTTGAAGATACCCAATTATTGGAAAATATTTAGTATGTTTATTTAGAAATTGAATAATGTAGAAAATAAAGCTTGAACAAAGCCTTGTTTTAGCTAAATGGTAAGTCAACAAACTCTAAATATACCAATTCAAGATAATCTGGAATGTAAACCAAATACAGGACTCTTTAAAAAAAAGTGACATCCATATGATGCGGGGGGGATTACAATGTTCTCATAACCCATACTTTTTGGTATGTGCTGGATTGAGTTATATCTTCCAGAATATCCTTTTACGGTAGAGTATATATGATATGATAACCCATAAAGATGTAGCAATTAGATTCTGAGTCAAATGTTCACTGTGTGATTTCGTATCATTTAGCTTCCATTTAAAAGGAAAATAGTTTTCAAATATTTCATGTCCAACATAAACAAGAATGGAGTTCATACCTGTAAAGAAACCAAAAATACCATCAGAAAAGTAGTTACATATTACAGGGTTTATGACTCCAGCCTCATATCAGTCCTCTTCCATGGTTTCTAAACACCTTGAAAATTTCTATAAGGCACAAATAATGACCTTTACATCAAACTGCAATAATCATTGAGATGGCCCAGGATCAAGGAAGTAAAGTAATTCCTATAAACTACAAAGATCATAATATCACAACAGAACAAAATGTTTTCTTTACAAGGTTCTGGGAAATTGAGTCAGCTTGTTAGCAAAAATATCCAGTGCTAGAGGAATTGAACAATGTATCTGGTGAGGCAGCTAGAAGGATATAAACTTGTGTAAAGCCACTGCATAATGGATGGGGAGAGATAGAGGCTGCCCAGTCTGAATTGACAGATAAAAAAAATAGATTTATTTCCCAAATAAATTTATTTGGGTGAGGAATAAGTGAAAGACATTTTTAAAGGGAAAAAAATAAACTCTAAAAAGGCACCTAGGTCTGAAGTCTGAAAGCAATAAAACTAAATCGTTCTCCTTTTAAATATACCCACCTGGATAGAAAAATGGAGCACCTGACCACACCTTCTTAACATCTATAAGGTAGTATACCAACAGCAGAAGTATAAAGGCAAAGCTGCTCAGTGTTGTCACGTATGAAATTGACCTGCAGGAATGTCAAAAAGTAGTTCAAGATTTATCTATCAAATATCAGTTTACAGAATAAAATGACTCTGTATGTTCCTCACCATAAATTCTTGTTAACTGGAATCAAGCCTTGATCTTTTGAGCATTTTGTCAACATCATAGAAATGACACCCTAAAAAAAAACAACAGGCATTTTAAATGAAGAACAAATGCTGGACTTATAGAATGTCCTGTTTGATTCCCCTGCTCACTTGCTCTTTTAGCTCATTCTCTTGGACACTGCTTTAAATTCCTATAGTCTCTGCTTACTCAATAAGCAATCACTCAGTCATCCATAATGTGCAATCAGGAGCTCTCAAGACATAACTCCTCCAATCAACAGCTTTTCAGGCTTTTTTTTTTTTTAACCCCTCCTCACAACAGAGCACATAATCCCTCAGAACAGTTTCTCTGGTTGTTCTCCTTTCTTCTTTATCTCTTCCTATTGTTCAGCTTGCCTGACAAACTCCCATTTGTTGTTAGTTTGCTTGCTTAGCAAGCATACTTAACTTTCATTGAATTACACCAGAGTTGTTTTGCTGCTGTTCTGCCAATTCTAAGCCTGAAGAACTGCAATTTGGGCTTATTGCAACTAAGAAAATATTCATCTCTTTTGAGTCAAATTTTCCAGAAAGTATCAGAAGCTTTAAAACAATTGGGAGATAAATACTTCCAATTGAAGACCTAACAAGGCTATATTTGTGACTTACCATTATTATACTCCACACACAAAAACGAAGCATTATTTGCTTATGCTGATCTTTATAAAACAAAAGAATTTTTCCTCCCTTAAAGTAAAAAATAAAACAAAACATTAAAAGTGGCCTAGAATAGCTGTAACAGACAGAGTGAAATTGAGAACTAGTTGATGATATAAACATTGCACTCTAATGTATTAAATAGTTCTACTTAAGTTCTTGATGTAATCTCTCTGATTTTTCAGGTATGTTTTTCTTAACCATATTAGGTTTTCCTATATTGTAGTCTAAATAAGAGCTTTGCTTATTAATAAGAATGCTTATGCTATCTACAAAAAACATAAAACTCCTGTCTTTTGCCTGTTGTCTTCATTTTTGTTAGCAAATTTTCTACTGTAATTTCTAATGCCACAGTGATTCAGAGAAATAATATGTTATTGGGACAGGTATTAAATAGTTAATTCTGAACTTCTGTCACTTGTCTGAAAAGTTAAAATAAGCATTTCCTTGTGTTGCTCCAAAGAAACCTATAGATCCCTTTGATCAGTCTGTTATCCCTAGAGAAGGACCTTCCCCCCCAACACACTCATATAGGGAGTTATAAACTCTCACCTTTCTAAATAGCATTTTATGAAGCTTTTCTGCTCATGTACAGCAAGAGAGTACAATACCTGAAGTCCCAAAAATGCCATAACAACAGAATTTATTGTTCCTAAAATTCCTTCAGGATCAAAGGGCACCGTAGTAAGATAGAGTACCTATAGATTGAGAAGGGTATATTAGAAATTCTGCCTAAACTTGAATTTTATATTTTAATTTAATATTTAATATAAATATTTTCTATTAGTTGCTAACTTAAATACATTTTGATTTAGCACTGAAACAACACTTTAGATCCAGAAATGTAGTTTGTTCAGATGTTACTTTTGACCCTGAACTTCCATGTCATGAGACTTGGAGCAACACATAGGTGTGGCTATTCCATCCCCAGTTATGAAGTAAGAACTACATGGGAGTTACCCATGCCTGCTGTCACTTCTTGCTAGACCTCTGGATGGAGAAAATAGCATCTCAGGAGATCTAAAGTAAATTCAGAGTTACTGTTACAAATGCATAACTATTGTAGCAACAGCAGCAATCCACTGAATGAAATCCTTATTGTTTTCTCTTAAAAATACTCAGTATTAATTAATTAATACCCAGTATTAGTATGCAATTTTATGTCCTCTAGGATAGTATCCCATAAGCCACAGGATTTTTTGTATTTTTTTAAAGCTCTAAGAAGAGCTTTGGAGAAAGTAATCTAATTTAAGAACCCCCATTCCAATTCTCCCAGGAACACCCAGGCCAATTTGGTCCAATTTTGGGAGTCTAATGTCAAAACTGGTACAGGAAACTTGCTATGAATGGATCAGAAGACATGCTGGGAGCGATCACATATTTGTTGGACCCAAAGTTTTCATGGCCTCTATTACAATTCTAAGATAGCTGCTGGAAATAGTGTAGCTTCAATGGCACAGAATTTGAGTTAAATAAAGTGAACAGAGGGGAAAAACAGCCATGCCATTCTGCTCACTGCTAGCACTAGAGCTCACTGACAAATATGTGAGATTGCTCCATTGTTGTATTTCTTATCCGTTCTCTTTTCTAAAGTCTTGGCAGGAGGCAGGGAACCTCAACTATTTCTGCAATGTGCAGTCATAAAATTACTTTAAGAAATTATGGACTGGTAATGTTGTTGATTCCCTATTTTGAATGAAACTGTAAGTGAAAGTTCTGTCAGATAAGCTGCACTTTCTTTATCTTTTAAAAATAATATTCTACTTCTATAAAAATATTATTATTTAAATACATTAACAAGGAACAGTTACTTGAAATTTCAAGTACAGAAAATAAGGAGCTGGCTTCAAGGAGTTGACAGCAGCTTTGAAGAATTATAAAAATTCAAATCACATTTTGCCTTCCAATATTCTTCATAAGCAGTGATTAAACTTTTAAGCAGGCTGTAACCATTTCACAAATAGTTGATAGATGTATGGAATGTTTAACTCACATTAGAAGATGGATGCTGATAGATGTGTTTCTCTCCTAGAAGTAAATGATCAATGTATCCTGCTGCCCCTCCTGTACAGTTAGGGAACTTTCCAAAATCGCCAATACCTCCAGGTCCAAGGTAGCCTCTAGAAGGGGGAAATAATCTTTTGAGTCATATGTTGGCATAGATGTGAACTGAGTGATCTGAAAGTGTCAGGAGCTCTTATTGTATAGAGCTAATACAAAGGGAAAGCAGTTCTGTGAGCTGTCAGATAGTAGGGTGGTTTCCAGAAGGTGTCAAGTTGACAATTTCCAGAACTGTCCAATGTCCATTATCCCACCTCTGCTGCCATTCCCACTGTCCATCAAGATCCCAAAGACAGGGACCACATGACAACATTCTTAGCCTGACAATGTGTCATATATATTAATGTGTCTCTCATATAGATGTAGGTGTAGATGTAGATGCAGATGTACAGTAGATGTAGAGATAGAGAGATGTGACAATGTGTCATATATCTTTAGCATCAAAAAAGGATGGCAGAACAGGAGCTGACAGAATCTGAGCCATGCTCACAGCCCTTTAGGAGTTCCATATGAGGATCACTGTAAAAACAAGACAGCCTAAGGATAAGTAGCATTCCTGGGATAGCTCCAACTGATTTCAATGAGGCATCTTCATGAGAATATCCTAGCCATTTGTCCCCCAAGTTACCTAGTGGGAGAGAAGTATTATTTGAATGTTCAGTCTTGAACACTGAAGTGTTATGATATTAATGAGACCAGTCTATTAAACCCCATAGGTATCTGGAAAAGATAACATGGAAAAAAGAAATAAAAAAAGGATTTAAGCTTCAACTGACTTTGGACACCCAGGTACATTCAAAAGGAAGGTGAGGCACAGCCAAAGTCCTTCAAGGGCCAATATGAAAAGCCACTGGGGCCAGTATGGAAGAATATCCTGGAGAGCAGGGTATGGAGCCTCCTATTAAAACAGAAAGAAAAGTAAAACTTGAGTAATTCAAGTTTCATTGGGAAACCTCTGCTACTGCTGGATTTGCTAAAAGTATTGTTAAAAATTTGTGTTCTTTCAAGAGTTTTTCTTCTATTAAATATCTTTATAATAGACGTTAACTTCAGCCACTGACTAACGTTGCTTTGGTCCAGTCTCTTTTTCCAGAATAGAGAAGGAGAACTAACAAGCTTGTGCGCTTATATTCAAAGACTGGGCTATTTCTGTGGTTCTCAGTCCAGATCAAGCATCACAGTTTGATAACTGTTCTGATTTATTTACCTAATTTTATCATTCTTCCGTTTTTAATTTTTGAGAGCAATTCACAAAGTAGCAATACATTCATTAACAAAGGAAACAATGACTAAGCAAATACTAACAGTATTAAACATTAAAATAGCTAGCAACAATAAAGCGCCTGTTACTTAAAAAGACTTAGAGTTAAACCCCCTTGCCTGGCACCCCAAAGCTAAGGACAGCTTATCTAATCCCAAAGCCCTTTCCTCACTCCTTTCTTTTGTTCGCTTCTATCCTAGCTGGATATTTGAAGGAGGGCTTTAAACACTCGTGTTAATACATGGCTTGATCGATGTGGAAGAGGATGGCTCCAAGCTGTTTTGGCCTTTAAAGTTAAGTGCTACCTCTTTTATCTGCACTGAGAAATAGATCAGGCAACTGGCCAGGTGATAACCTTCTGTACTGACACATTTCATATACTGAATGGCAAGAACAAGAGGCAGATATTAGCAACTTTATCTTTGATGAGTTCAGTAATCTTGTCATGATAGGCTTCTGTGGGTTGCCTGAAGTCACCTTTGGGCCAAATTGAAGAATGCTTTAAAACACTCAGGAACAGCTCCACCAGATGGCGCTCTGAAAATGCGATAGCAGCAGAGGAGTTGTGTTTCATACGGCTGGGCATGGAAATTATTCAGATGTGTTTCTGAACAGGAGTGCTCCTTACAGCACCCTGAAAAAAGTCTGAATCATTTCTGAAGTCCTACTGCTTCCTTGCCACTGCCACCATTACAATGCAAGGTCAATAATACAGCCTTCCCTGTGTTCAGTGAGATTCACATCATATTTGTAGTTCACAGAACTGTGTCCTACTCACTTACCGTTCAGTTTCATTATTCTATCTGATTTGTAAGGCAGGAAGCACTCTTGCCTTTGTAAAGTATTGGGATAGTTCAATTATTGGAGCAAGGGAGAAAACTGATATTTGCGCTTGGTACATTTGATGACCTCTATTTCAATTTTTCTAAGTTTCCGATTGAAGCACTATGGAGATTGTGAATTAAAGATTGTGAATCAGGAAAAGCCAGTATTCCCTTCACTTTATGCTGAAGCACAACTGTTAAGCCATTCACTGACCAGGGTGCTGTTCTCAGGCACAGGTTTGGCAAAGAGCAGTTCTAGTGCTGCAACGACAAGGTATGTGCAGCCCAGTCTCTGGAGCACACCTGGAATTCGTAGATTATCCAAGGACACTGAAAAAAATATGAAAAGCAATGTAACTGAGCATGACAGTTTATGGAAATAATGGATGCAAAAGTAGATCTGGTGCTGAACAATATATATTGTTGCAGGATTAACAGTATTATAACTGCATTTTAATCTAAACAAAGTAACCTAATGATTTCAGGAGAGATTCTGTATAGAACAAGGTAACTTAATATTCTTGATTGGAAATGAGAAATGTCATTTTTCTAAGGGGGACTACTGAGGTTAATAATTCCAGTATTAACCTCATCAATTTCTTGTTATCACATCCTATTTAGGTGTTCAAGCTACACTGCCTAGGTTGCTCTAAAACATAAGGTTTTTTTACAAAGGATATGACACTTATGGAATTTCTGAACTAGATTCCTTTACCATTCCATTTATTTTCCAAAAATAGGATTATAAAGTTGTTAGGCAACTTTACAGTTAAGATTTTTTTCAGCATTATAAGCCCAAAATTGTAACCATAAAGTTAAGATTATTTGTCCTATCAGTTTACACAATGACATAAATATAAAATTAGATAAAAATACATCCATATTTGGAAATATCGAAGTAACAAAGGCTAGGGTATACTGGTTTTTAAAAATCACTGAAATGCAGAGCTCCCTTATTTTCTAATATTAGAAAAATAATATTTTTCTAATATTAAAGATATCTATTTCTCCTTTTGCTATAAGAGGAAAAGGGTTCTACTTTGTGTGTGAATGTGAAGTGTGTGTGAAGCTATACATATGTTTAAATGTGAGAGAAATCATGCTTATATCTGTGTCGAGGGCCATCTACATTTCTCTATGAAAAAAAGAAGGCCATTGTCCATGAAATGTGTTCAACCTGCTAAGATAAAAATTGAGTCTGAAAGATCAAGAAAAAGAGATTATGCCTGGAAACTAAGTATAACAATATGCTTTTACTGCTTACATGGCATGGATTTTAAGGACAGGTAACTTAACTGGCATATTCTGTACCTGTGTATGAAAAAAAGTATAAAGCTTTCTTTAGCCAAATTTTTCTTTTAATCTTAGTACCCAAGGCTAACATAGAGGACATGGAAGATAATATGAATAAGTTAAACGATCTCAAAGTACAGAGCGTGGAGAGGGGGTTCTTCAATACTTGGATAAGAGAATTTTACTAAACAGCACTAATTTCTGTAGTTTCTGAGGTAATACAATAGAATAAAAATTTCTCCAAAATGGTACACTCGATTAGAAATGTAAATGAGTCAGAAGAAACTGTTAATTCTAATTCCTGAATTAAATATGAATGAATTTATACTCCAAACTACTATTGCTTCCAACGTCATTGTATTCCACTCCCTTACAGTACACAGTTTTGCTCTATGTGCCATAAGGCGGGGCAGAATACAATGACATTGGAAGCAACATGAAGGGTAAATAATACCTTTTCAAGAACTGACGTGGCTGCAACTGTTTGTACATAGTTGCACCTGCATGAATTTCAGTTTTTCCCAAAATTTTATTGTGGTATACAAACAAAGTGGTATGTTTCTTAGCCAACATGAAAAAAATAAATTTCTTAGCACTTACATGGGCCAAGGCAGTAATTTGGGTTCACAACTAGAAGTCCTATTAAAAAGAGGAGGAGACTTCTCCACAAGACTTTGCCCAGCAATTGCCATTTGGAACAACCCCGTCTCATCATGGCACTGAGAGACAGTGAAATAGAGGTGCCCATAATAAATACAAACCTAGAGAGGAAAGCAAGAGAGAAAAAAATCATATCTCATCAAGACATACACTCTGTAAGGATAAAATTAACTCCAAGAACTGAGGAGCCATAGATAAGCAGGTATGAATCTTGTGTATATAATGAAAGAAGGATAATTTGAATATTAGATAAATAGTTGAACAGATATACATGTTCCTCTCTTCCACAAATATCTACAAAGGATTCCAGAAAACTCATTCTCTGTGTTAGCATTACTAGAGAATGCAAAAGATTTGATCTATCTTTGACATTCATATACCCAGAACAAAGTAAGAACAGCAGTTCTTTTGTTGGCTCCAGAGTACAATCTATGCGTAGCAGTTAAGACCTGCTTTTCTTTATATGATCAAAGGTCAATTACACCAACATTCCATTTCTTACACTTACCGGTCATATAAGGATTAGGTAAGGGCCTCCCCTGTATCTGTTACTTTCCAAATTTTTATCCAAAAGCCCTCCTTTACCCAAACTGCTTAGCATCTAACATCCTGAAGTGTGAGCATTTATATACATTATATGTTGCTTTTGCTCTGTATTAACACCTGCTTTGAGGCTTTTGGATCAAAGTGCAGTCACAAATGAAGCAAAACAAAACATCAAATAGGAAGTTACAGTTTACAGGAATAGGTGCCATAGTCACAGCAGTGATGTGTTTCCACTTTTTGTAGTATAGGAAACAACAGAACTGCCTCAGTGAAATCCCATTACTGCCACTGGATGAAAGTTCTTTAAATCCTAAGATGGAAAAAAGTCTGAAATAGACCTCTACTAAAATACCAACTATAATAACTTATAGTTGACTTATAAATGTGTGAGAAAGTCTGTGAAAGGATGAATGCCCGGCTACCAATCTCAGATTGCCTGAGGAAAACTGCAGAAGTCAGAACATAGTACAAAGGAGAAATGGAAGCCAGCAGAAAATTATGCCAGCTCAAAGTAGTGCTCCCTGCATGCACTTCCAACCCCAACTCTGTCTCAGCAATGAAACATCTGCCTGCGATGGAATGCAGCTCAGCAGATGGACTACTCAGGAAGCCTGCGCCAGCAGAAGTAGGAAAGTACTTCAGAGCCAAAAAATAATGCCGAGGTCGCATTCGCAGCTGACTGGGGCTGAGATGAGGACAACTTCATGCATTCCTCTCCTTCCAGTTCTGATCAAACTGACAGGCAATTAAAGAGATTCCCATATGGATCTCTTTTGAATGACTTGGTTAAGTTCAACAATACTAGCAATCAACATGAATTACCATGGAAAGACAAGGTCTGCTATCGTTAAACCTATAAAGAAAAACAGAGATATTAAAGTTCATAATAATGGAGAACTACTAACAATTATTAGATAGTTAAATAAATAAAATATTTAGTCCTAAAGTATATTACTAAAAGTTTTCCATACTTTGAACTTTCTAAAATACATAATACAAGGTCATCACATTGAGAGGAAGCATTTTAGAGTGAAATAGGCTAAAAAAGAAGGTATGACAGCAGTTTTTCCAAATCTTCTGTTTCAAACTACATACAGCACTCTTTTCTCCCTTTCTCCTCATCTCCCATTGCCACTTGTCCAGCTACAAATATCTGTTTGCCATCCAAAGCATTAGTTAGAACTCTGAGATCTTAAAAACTCCCAAACTCCCAAAGCAGAACATTAAATGAGGCATGTTTGATTCTCTACAACTATTACTGTGGAGGACAAATGGATTTTGAATATCTTACCATTCCAGCTCTGATGTTTGAAGAACCAATACTTTCCCCCACCATAATTCACAAAGACCATAATTATAAGTGCCAACCTACAAAGTCAAATGGAAATCATGATCACACACTGAACACATATACTTACTAACAGACTCTAAATGCACTTATTTCACTGTTACAATGATGAAATATTGAAATAACCTGAACGAGTCTTAAATTAGTAGATTCAATCAATACTTTTATCTTTCAAATTGCGACAATACCCTGGAAGAAAATATTGCCTTTTAAACTTTACCAGATAATTTTTTATGGAGATTGGGATGGATCAACATCAAAAGGATGTTTGATGCAGAAAGTTTAGAGGATTTCATGAATGCTCTCACAAAATAGCTGCCAGAAGGATGTGATCAATCTCAAAATGCTCATTTCTTAACAGAAGTTGCTGAGGCTAAAAAATCTTTCTCAAGAATGTAAGTATACAAAGGAGATAAATTCTGAGTCCCAAATATAACTCTTCTGAACTCCTGGTTTACATACAAAATACATTTCACTTCACAGAAGACAAACTGATGAAACATTGAGGCAAATAACTTGGCTTAACAAATCTAAATTGTAGACAGAGGTAAGACCTGAACTGCAAATGCCAAATAACATTATTTGTTCCCATCCATCCAGCCCAACAAAATTCCCATTTCATACACAGAAAACTGCAGATTCTAGAGAACAGTCTTCCTCAACATGGGTTTACCAGGTATGTTGGGACTACAATTCCTTGATTGCCAGCCAATGCTGCTATGTGAATGGCATCAGGCTGGAGAAAGTTGATCAAAGAAATAGATGTATTCAAAGTAAATACACATAGTCATTAATTCCCTCAAAGAAACTAGTTTACCCTCCTCCCAAATAGGCAACATACAGTACAACCTCTTTCATGTCCCTCCCTCCACACTCTTGTGCACACATTTCAAAATGATGTGTTGACTGCAGCTATCTCCATTTTTATTCCCCACAAATGCCTTTGAAGACAACCTGGAGTGTATCAGATCTTACCTCTGCCTACAATCTAGAATTTCTCAGAAGAAAAATGCTGCAGCAGCCTCCCAATTAAAAGAAAAAGAAAATGGAAACTCCACCCTAGTCCCCAAAACAAGGGTGTGCAGAAAGTCTGATAAGTGCTAAAGGAAGTATGATGTTACTCATGGGCACCAGATTGGTGATCCCAGCCAAAAGAGCCTTAAGTCCATTGCATTTTCTTTTCTAAGAGCAAGTTCAATTGTTCAACAGACAACAGCCTAACAGGAAATCAGAACATCCAAAACCAAGGTAATGATTTCTGTTAGCTCAGGGACACATGAAGTTAATCTACAGCTGGCTCCAGTTCCTTAACACAACTAAGAAACAGGAAGTGTCCAGACTGTACCAGTTCTTACTTTTCTATTGCTCTGCTGTTACTTACAATATCACTGTCTAGGACAAGTAGGTTCCACTCTTGGTAGCCATCGAAGACATTTACAGAAAAATTGTAAGGAATTACCAGAACTATAATTTACCCTCTGAAGGTATCCAGGGAACGAAGTCTCTGTAGAGAAGAAGCAGAGTTCCATACTTCTACTGGGAGACCACCACCAATGGAACCTGTTCTGCTTGGGGATCCAAGCTCCTGAAAAATAAAGGAGACAAGGAAAGATTAGCAATGAAAACCAGTTATAAGACTCGTAAGCCTGAAAAACGACTTGTCTTTTCATAATATATTCTCTGTATGTATTTTCTTTCACATGCCATGTTCTGTATTGAACTGGATAATTCTATTTCCCCAGCATTGTGCCAATGGTCAGCATCCTGTCTTCCTTCAAACCTACCAGTTTGCTGTCTTTCTTGATTTTTAAATTCATTTTACAGTTTTTAAAATATTGTTTTTTTAATATAAAATTTAAGGGGTGTTCTTTTATATAACCTATCTGGAAAGTTGGCATGCTGCAAAACAGAATCCCAGCCTCCAGCTCAGTATTTCATTTTAAGAACACATACATCCAAAAGGAATTTTTTGAAAAGAAATTGTTGAGGGCTGCATAGCATTCCATTTTGAAACATGCCAGAAAAATGCAATCTGGTGGGTGTTAGGCAGCATTCTGATGAGGTCAGAGAAGATAGAGTACCAAGAAGAGTGTTTTGTTCATGCATTTGTATATTTTGCCATTTTTAAAGGGCTTGTGATTAGATGCTAAATGTTTCATTTGTCTGTTGTTATGGGTTTTGCCTATTTTTTTTTCTCCCTCAGTACTGTATGGTTTTTCATCTGAATTTTTTATATTTAAATGTTCTGGATATTTTATCTGGTCTTTTAAATTATATATTGTAGTTTGCATATACAGTTTACAGGTGCATTTCTAGAATGGGTATGAGTACAGATGATGGTGCGTAGGTATTTTGACTCAGTCTTTTGTGAAATGGGTACTTGCAATTATTCACTCCAAGACTAAAATTAGTTTTCTTGGGAAGACCTAGCTGCCACAGACCCCAATGGTAAATAGGAACTAACCAAACAGAACAGGTGGTAGCTTTTAAATATCTTGTAGTAATTCTTCAAGCCTCTGGAAGTTGGCAGAAACAATCTAGAGCCATCTCTGCCAAAGCCAATAATAGCATCAAGACAATCCTGGGCTTTTTTCACTCTAAGGGAGGTAGATGCACACCTGCTGCCATTAAGCTGTTGAAAGCTAAATCTACAGTATATCCTAAATGCTGTATGGCACAGAGATATGCACCTATAATGATCTAAAGCTTTGGATGCTGTTCAGTCTACATTTTTACAAGCACTCTTCCAGATTCCATGTTGTATCCCAAATGTTCTAATTCACATGGAAAGAGGAACGATCTCATTGGAGACAAGAGCCTGTATTTGCTGTCTCTCTTATTGGCTCAAACTTCTATTTTCTGCCCTGCTAATTCTTCTTGATGACTTCATGTCAAGATGGAAAGTAAAAGTCATAGCCAACCTGTATTACTGAAGCCTTTCTAGCCAGCTTTCTCTCCTGGAAACCTTTCAGACCTGCAAACTGTCCGTTCAGTCTGGTTTGTTCAGCAACTGCAGAGCCTTCTTTTTGGCCCACTTTCACGTTCTACCCTTGGCAGAACATTACCCTTGCTGTAAGAAGGCTTAAGGTGTCCTAATCTTGAATCAATGTCATGAGGAAATCCTTTTATTCTTTTATCTTAATTTCATTTTTATTTATTTTGTTTTGCCTTGTTTTGTTTACTTCTTACACATGTAAATTTTAATTAGCAGGTCTTGATGGTGGTTCTATTGCTCTTATTGTATGAGTTTGCTTTTGTGTGTTGTTTTAGTGTTGTAGCTACTTTGCTGATCACAGACTGTAAATAAATAAAATATTTTGTTATGCTTTGTGTGGGAAAATATGTGGTTTGATATTTGGGATTCAGAGCAGAGTTCTTGGAATAGGGCACATGTTAGCTGGTTTTAAGACTCATCAATTGGCTTCCTTTTTGCCTCAACAGTTTGTCATCTCAGAAATAGCTATTTTATTATTAGTCCTGCCTTCCACAGCAACTATTTGGTGAGAGTGCTCCCTATATTCTTAAATGTCCAAATGAGCCCATTAACACAAACAACTTGGGCTAATCCTGTACATTCACCACTGTACCAATAGGCAATTAAGGCTGTAAATAGAATTCATATACACATTTGGTGCTCTTATAATTATATTTGGCCTCCTTACAAATCAAAACTTGTTAAAAACAAAGAATAGGTATAGCATTCTTCTCCAGCATAACTAAACAGAGGTCAGTACTAATATGACACAAGTGGTATTTAGCCAACATATTTAGGCTGAAAAAATTATATCCATTCATGCAAGTATATGCTTTACTAAACTCAGATTGACTTTTATCTTTTCTTAGCCAAAATCATGGAAGAGCTTGTGTATGTCATTTAATGTCTGAATGTCTGAAGCACTTACATGAAAAGTGACTGCAGTTGAGGTGATGTTAGGCTATCTATACATGCCTTGAAGGTTATCTGATCTGTGATGGTTTTTAGTTATTTCATGATCATAAAGCTCTCAGGTTTTAGGATCAACATGGACATGTGAGCTCATCTGAAGACAACTTTTTTGTAAAGAGAAAAATCCAGTTACCAGCCCATGTAGCTAAGCTTCCATTTATTTGTGTCAGAAAACAGCTGAGTGAACTCTTAAAAATATTTTAAATGATCATTCACACTATTAAAGAGCTTACTGAATTAATAAGTCGATCAGTTTCTCTAGGATTCATCTTTTTGTAAAGCCAATTTCTGATTGGTTCAATGCTATAGAACAGAAATAGAAAAAAATCAGATTTTATTCTTGAGTAACACAAATCCCTATATGATGCTACCCTAAGATCTTCAACCTGACTAAATCATCCTGAGAACATTGTCCCAATCAATTCCTTCAAAGGAAGCATTAATTATTTCTGGGAGCCAACTGGTAATCCTTCTACTGCTATATTGTTATAAGTTAGGGAAAGAAAGTCCCCACCAAAGG